GGGGAGGGAGTTATGTCTTTTTAAGGCCTCCACTTAATCCGTATCTATTAAATCAACATTATTTAAGTTATGTCAGTCCTGAGTGAGCCTGTAGCTCGTTCGCTCGAAGCTGGACTCAAGCATCAAAAATATCTTTCTTGGCTTTTGGACCTATGACCTAAAAATATTTTGTCTCTTGATCTGGTGATAACAAAAATTCCTAGGAGGAGGATAGGGTGAAGGGTGGTGCCAGTGCGATACACTCTTTGAAAGGGTAGATCAGTGAAAGAAACATGTCAGAACATCTGTTATCCGGAGGATCTTAACTGAATATTGATTTTTCTTCTGAAAACCAAATTCTGCTTTTAGATTATGTATGTGCAACTGACTGTGTAGCCTTTGGGCTGGAGTAAGGAAGGTTTCTGTGTTACAGTTGTGGCTAGAGGGCTTGTGGCCCAACTGTGTGACACATACAGGTTCAGCCTAAAGTGTAATCATTGCCCTGCGGGGTCTAGCGTCTACAAAATTCAGCCAAGAAGTAGGAATTGAGCACAGACCTCCTGAACAGCAACCCAATAGCCTACCAACTAGTTCACAGTGTCCTAGTTTGATTTCTACTCCTTATCTTCATGGCAGCATCAAAAAACACTACTAAGGCAGGAGTCTTTAATCATCATGTTGTCTTCAGTGCCAGACATAATTGCAAAATACTGTGATGCATACGATGCACATAACTGAGAAAATACCTGAGTAAATAGTAACTGGTGTTAGCCAGGTGTGGCCAGAATAATAATCTTAGCACTTGTCACAATGGCATAGTTTTCTTGCCATAATGGTAACAATATTTTCACCGACTCACCACATTTAGGCTACTGGTTCATCCGAATCTGACCCTGGGAAGGAATTAAAAACTACTTGTGTACCGGGTAGACAGAGAATGAAAGATCAGGTCCGAGCTCTAAATGATTTTCAGTTTCTTAATGGCAGTAGAAAGTAAGCGCAGCATTAGGGATGTGAAGCAACTTTAAAAAAAGGCTAAAACCACCAGCTGGAAACAGCTGGAGGAAGAGTCAGTGAGATTTTTGCTCTTAAATGAGTCCAACTCTCTTGATGATTTTATCCAATTAGCTTGGTTTTTTTACCTTACCATGCACCAGTGGCCTGCAATACTGGTGTAGCGAAGTAATTAGTCAATAGAACAACTATTTAATTGCTGAATATGAATATTAAGAGCTGAATAATAGTAGCTAAATAAAGATTAGTCTTCTGAATCCCAGTAGTTCCTCCAAAAAGACATCTGCTAGGAACCTGGACCGGTTTAACCTTACGTGTTATAATTTGTTCATTTCATATACTTCTTCCAGTAGTCTCTGGTCATTAACATTTTTACTTACAAAGTTTGTGAAGTGGCAAAATAGAAGCGCACTCACTCAGAAATTACTCATAATAATACTGTTGCAGTAGTTAAAGAAACTATTGTTTTTGTAGAAGTCAGGAACCCAAAATATATTTGAAAGGTACATCGAGGTCAGGCCACTTGGGCTTACTGAAGTACTTTTTACCATACTCTCCAAAGCAATAAAATCAGCTTAAAAATGGTCAGAACAAACCTTCCATAGGAACAGAAAACAAACCAGTGTTTGGGCTTTCCACTTAAGTTCTACCGTTAGACACCCCAAACTCTCTCTTTTTAAGGCACTAGTAGTTCTGTTGTCCTTATATCATGGGTAATTCACATCTCTAAATCTTAAAGATATCTGCTGGATGTACTCCAACTAATAAATAATAATGGCACCATATATGTTAATTGACATCAGATGTCTCTCCAGAACATCTCCCTTTTATTTAACTATGTTTTGGTGAGGCATGTCAGCAATTTCCTCCTCTTAAAGCCTTAATTAAGTAAGATCATTTTGTTAATCTTTATCCTGTTACTTTTGCTCTGTTTAATTTTATACTATGCAGCGTAATTCTTCTGACATAATCAGCTAGCTTCCATGATGGAATAATGTATCAAGAACACCAACTCAAGGTATGCAGGGTGCCTTTGCCACTGAACACTGCTTGAATTCCACAGAATTCCACATATCTCCGCGGACAAATGTGAACAGATAGGGTATTTTCAACTGAAGATAGCAACATAGCAAATAGCAATGCAGTGTTGTCATTTTGAGGTAAAAGGTAGCAATCTGTTATTGTGATCAGACTTATTTAAAGGCTGCTTTCAAATTAGCTTTGCAGTCACAAATGTGTAAATATTTAATTTTTTTCCTAAGCAAACATGAACCAGTTCCTTGAGTGAAAACAGAACATGTCTGAATTGAATGTACTTCTGTATAAAAATGATGGTTTCTTTCACAGGAAAAACATATCAAAAGTAATGTATCCGATGGAACTCCAGCCTTGACAGATGCAGATAAATAGAAGTTGAAATGTAGCGCTAGTGTTTGTCACTGGAAACATAATACAGAATTTGGGCCAAGATGTATTATAAATTTAGCACGGTTTTAAATATAATACCCAAACTTGAGAAAGTGTTCCAACCAAGCGTAACGCTTCTTTCTTTAGAGTCTTCCTTTTTTTGCAATGCGGACTAACTTCAGCCATTGAACTCTAGCTAGGAATGGTGAGATGAAGGAATTAGGGCCAAGTGTGTACCTCGCATTGTCACTCTGGAATAGGTACCAGAAAACCACCCACTACTTTCTGGGCCTACCATCTGAATTCTTTACCAAGACGTAGTCTTGTAGAAAATCAAAATGCGTAGGGCCTATCCATTACTCCTTTGGGGAAAAAAAAAGTGCAATGAAGTCAACATGTCTTTCTTGTTTGTTTTCCTATTTTTCTTTCTTACTCACCACTCACTACTTCTGTTCCACCTTCATCAGCCCATGTGGGTTTTCCTAAGTTTAGCAGAGATTTTTACATGAGCAAAACAATAGTATTTGACCCCAGACATCAAATTAAATTAGCAGTGTTGATTAACTGCTCTCAGATGAGTCACCTTCTACTTCCAGTAAGACTCTGCATCCAAACCTTGGAATAAGCCTACTGCCCGACAAGTAAATTATCTCAATACAGTTTAGCTGCTGCTCATGTGATGGAGGACAGAAAACGGGCAGCTTCATTCTCTTTTGGATGGACTTGGGTGAACACCCTGTTACATTCCCAGCCTACACAAACTGTTTCCTCCTTCCATGGTGTTACTCTCCCATGAAACCAAAGGACACTCACTTCTCTGTATCTAGCAGAGAAGACACATGCTGCTCTACCTATGGACTGCAAAGGAGGGAGGGAGAGAGAGAAGCTTTGTGCCTTCCCTGCTTCTCCCTCACCCCAACTTTGTGCTCCGGCCAGATGCAAGGTGACCCTAAGCAGTTACATGTGTGGACTTAAAGATTACAAGACAGAAAGTGGATGGATGGTCCCTTTTTTTTCTCCTCCTGTATACGGAACTCCCATTGGCTTTCCTGGGTGCTCCCTCTATAGACTGATGAGCAACAGGTCAGAGGAGACGGAAGGGCTTTTTACCTGCCAACCCCAGAGTTCAGGATGTGTTGTTTCTCCTGCAGCAGTTGATGACACCCTAACACCTTAGCAGCACTGGAGCTGCATTCCTACGCTGTAACAGGGGAAGCAGGACCAAGGGCCTGAACTAAGGTCTTGGCAGGTAAGTGAAGGAGCAACCAGTATCAAACAGCTTTGAAAGTGTACGTCTTTGTAATGTTTAAGTCTTAATATGTGCTCTGCTTTACCTGGGAGCTTAACTTTCCACTTTTCAGAAGAGTATTTAAGACCACATATCAACTTTGCCAAACACTTGAAAAAGCGTTGATGAAACTCATCAATGCAGAGGGGCTAGAAAGAAAGTTTATTGGTGCTAAAAATATTTCAAAGCTGGAATTTCTTCTTAGAGCTGAGCAGAAGTTATTCAAATTATTGGGGGAGGGAGAAACTTTATGCTACCAACATATTTTTGTATATTGCCATGTAGGACGACTGAAAGCATTGTTGTGTGGTGAATACTCAATATTCAAAATATGAGCTCTGTTAGGATTGGGAGGGAAGATTTTTTGTTTCATTGCTTGTTTTCTCTCAATTGGACATGTAGGGAACACCTGATGAGGGGAAATCTCCATCTCCTTACTGCATTCCATTTCTTAAGCTTAATTATTGGAACTCGGTTTCCTGTATGAATACTTATGTCACTCCAAATGTGCTTTGTGTCAGTAGTTATTAGGAATTGTGTTTTCAGTGGCAATACCATGTTCCAGAACGTTCATAAAGAGCACACACAGAGGAAGTCGCTACCACTAAAGCAAATCCATTTAAAATGATATTTACAGAAAAATGTATGATGATAGTTACCAGCTCAAAAGAGAAGGAAAAGAAAATAATTAAAAACATCCTTACCTAAAGGAAGTCTTTCTTTTCCTTGCTTCTGGGAATGTGAGGGTAATGGATGTCTTTCTCTTGAGAGGCCAGTAAGTTTTACTTTTTGGAATGAAAAACAAATTTGGGTCAGAGAAGGAAATCATAAGGGGCTGCCATGAGTACCCAAGTTCTGTACCCAAGCCATCTACTGCCACCGTATCCTGGAGAGAAAAAAGGGAACGTTCATAAAGAATGAACAACCATCCAGAACTGATGGGGCACCAGAGCCTCATCAAGGTCCAATCCAGATATTCTTATCCCCGCTATCCTTATCGTTACTAATATACTCAATTTACTAAGTGAAATCACTCCAAAAGTGACCTCTATGTCCATCTTCCAGTGGATTAACTGTGAGCTTGCAAAAAAATTACACATGCTAATAGCAACTGTTAATTAACATTCATCAGAATTAAGGGAAAAAAGTCATCCTCAAAAATTTCTCTCCAAACCGTGGGTGTAAATTTTAGGGGCAAGAGTGAAAAATGACACTTTACATAGGTTTGTATCTTTTAAAAGTTTGCATTACTATAGTCATTGTTTTAAATTAACTTTCTCTAGACAAAATAAAGTGTTGTACTACATTGCAGCCTCACTGTTAGGAATGAAGATAGAGGAGACAATGCAGGAAGGCCAACACATACAACCAAAATGGAGAGTATCCAAGTCATAGAAGAATGGTAAGTCGGTCAAACTGTTATCTAACAAATGTTTTTAATTTGCCTATAACTAATATCAAGAATTACCTTGGGGTTTATGCTTCAGGAATGTCCTTTTAATAATTTTTCCTCCAAAACATTCTACACAAAAGGAAGCAAAATCAGACCTGACAATGAAATGCCAGCAGAGACATTCATAAGTCAGGCTTACTTACAGTTTCTTATTTGTGGGGAAGAACTGTGGGGAGGAATGGGAGGTGCATGGGTGGATCCACAGACCTGTGGGTCTCTATAAGAAGCCTCTGCTAGCTGTAGGATCATTTTCTTCTGTTTATTCAGACAAGAAGAAAAACTAATAGGCACAAGTGTACTTCACAGTCAAATTTTTAACATGGCTACCTTTCATAAAAGCTTGGACTATGGTTTCACTGGAATTAACCAAGGAAACACATACCTTGAAAAACGGGCTAACACACACTGAAAGTCTGAGCTTCTATTTCTGTCTAAAGGTTGGGCCCGTGTTTATTGTGTTGAGAAAAATGCTAACCTATCACTGGCCTTGAATTCACTAATCCCATACAAAGCAAATTAAAACTTAACTCTAGAGGATATGATTGATGGCAAAAGCAACCCAAACCACTCGTTGTCTTCATTGCTACTCATGATCACTTATGAGAGGACAATGTCAGAAATTTCTACAAAATACTGTTGTGAAGAGCACTTCCCAGTAGACAACAAGGGAACACAGGATGCTTGTCAGCTCCATCCACCTCAGCAGCTTCCTTTCACTCTCGTCAGAAAGAGGACTTTTCACCTTCAAATCTGTATGTTGATACTTTTTAGTTCAGATTACAATTATTTTGCTGGATAGTTTAAACAGTTTCTCATTTATTACATCTTTTGGACTGCCGAAAAGCTATCACAAATAGCTTCCCATCACGCGGTCTGCCTTGCATGCAGAGTAGGAGTTGATAAATGGTCTTGAAGTGAAATCATATAGACAAAGGTCACTTATTGTGCAGCGTGATTACATGGAAGCTATTAACAACAGCTAGTAAAGCTCTTGTGTTGGATCCTATCAGGAAGGGGAGGATGAGTGCTCAGAATTAAGTTTGAAACCGTATTTAACTGCTGTTAAGTAACTTGGAGTATTACCTTCTCAAGCTATTCGTTGGTACATTAATGGACTAATGACGCAAGTTAGTCTTCTGATCACTTATCCAGTGTGTCCACTGCTACAAGCCACGAATAGTTTCCTTCAGAAAATGGGAATAAGGACTTTTTCCCATTTCTTCTCTTTCCAGTTTTGCCAGCAACGTCCATCACATCTCGTGCCAATAGATCATCATTCAGGTCAATAGCACCAAACAGAGGGAATCTTAGCAACACTTAGGTACAAGCACAGAGAAATATGCTAATTTAAAAGCTCTTTGAATTACTATTTTGTTTGGCCTCATTAGTATGCTCTTGGCTGCCAAGTGCTTTTTGTTTTTCTTGTCCTTCCTGAACCAAATCCTGTGGCAGGCAGTGATTGGCCAAATACCATCAGAAGCAGGCAGGGACATCAGGTGTCATCTAAACCCCTCATGAAAGAGACTCTATTGCCAGCTTCCTGAAATCACATCTCCTTTAAGTGCAGAGGCAGGAATTCGGTGTTGTTGTGGGAGTTTGTCTTTGAGTCTGATGGCTAGCAACACAAGTAGAAAACTTGTAGAAAGCCAAGTGCATGTCTCATAACATTAAACACGTTTAGTGGGCTATTGAGATAATGAATGAACAAGTGAAGAGTGAACGAAATTCCCCTGTCACTGATCAAGCCTTGTTGCTTCCAGTTCTCACTCTGGACTAGAGTGCAGTTGAAAGGAGAATTTTTGGACAAATGTATGAAAACAGTGTTACAAAAATAGAAGCATATTTGTAACGATACTTTGCTTTTGCAGCCAAAACCCTACTGCAGATGAAATTTTGTCTTGGGCTCAGAATTTTGACAAGATGATGAAAACACCAGCTGGGAGGAACCTTTTCAGAGAGTTTCTTCGAACAGAGTATAGTGAGGAGAACCTGCTTTTCTGGCTTGCATGTGAAGATCTAAAGAAGGAACAGAACAAGAAAGTTATTGAAGAAAAAGCAAGGCTTATATATGAAGATTACATTTCTATACTATCACCAAAAGAGGTAAAGCCGTAAACGTTACCTTTGCATTTTCTGTTATTCCAGAGCAGAAATGTTATACCCTGGACTGCCAGATGGGGGTCTGAAAGTCTGTCTGATCTGTCAGGTGAAAGTCTTAGTATAGAAAGTCCTAGCCTCTACTTAGAAGAAGTAGAGACACAGATGCCGTGCCACTTAGCATAACTGGCCTCACCACCTCAAAGGTCACTATAAGACTCAAGAAACTCCAGTAAGAGAAGGCTGAGAAGTAGGTATGCCTCTTTAGTAATGCTACATGCCTGCCAGAGAGAGGAAGTAAGTAATGCAAATGGATTTCTGGAGAAAAGGCACCCAAACTAAGGAATTTAAATCAGAATCATTATAGATTTATCTGCTGTAACAGCTGTCTGGGAGAAAATCCAAATTTACACTGGTTATTCCTATGTGAGAGTCCGGGAATGGAGACCACATATTTTCTCTAATGAAAGGTATGATAATATCTAGGAAATTATATAAGACTTTCCTCAACCCTTAAACTGAAATAGACAAATTCTGAATTACCTTCACCTGGAGTAAAGAAAAAGCGTCCCCTATCAAACCATGTTTTGCAGTAGAGAGATATATATAATATAAATATATATGCACTATATATATATAATATAAATAATATAAATATATAAGCACTATAGAAGAGTCTTTCTTAGGCCACATCAGGTACCTTTAGCTCCTCTGCCTTGTCTCTGTGCATTGCGTCTGATTTTCTACTCAATAGCGTTATGCTAATTTATGCTCACTGTGGACCTTCCTTCCTACATTTTACTTCTGCACTGCATTCAGTAATAATTTGCAACTTCATTCATATGAATGAAGCCAACAGCAATTTATAGCTCCATTATCTTCTCTTGTGCCATAGTGCATTCTTCTGCTTTGGAGTGAGATAACTGCCAGTACAGCAAGCTAATAATGAGTTTTCCTTATAGCGTAATATAGTATCTCTGGTATGTATATATGTGCTGAATGCTCAGTTGTCTTTCTAAGATAAGATCAACCAGCAGTTAAAATTAAAATACTAACTAAGTGTTGTTTGACTCAGGGTTTAATAAAACTACTCACAAACTTGATGCACTGGACATGTGTAGACATCATCAATCCAATTGCTCCTGCCCCTACTGGAAATCTTAGGAGGCAAACAAGAACTGTTTGCAATGCTTTAGATCAGCATGGGAGCTGAAAAGCTCTTGTTCATCCAGGCATCCCACTCCAGATGTTCTCTTTTGGCATACGAGCTGAAATATTTAGCATTACTTGTTCAGTGATGAAGTTATTGAGGCAGAAGGTCTTAGTGTTCTAAAAACATACCTTGTATTCATCTGTTTAGCAAGGAAATACCTTTAATAATTCCAACTAGTTTTGCCATCTGGCTTTAGTGAGTCGTTGAAAAACTACAATGTAAATTAATAGTTCCATAACTACATTTTTTTCCATTCTATAAGTGCGATTAACTTTTACTATATTCAATGGCACAAAACTCCACCATCCTACCAAATTTGAGCTTTTTATCCCAGCTATTGTTTGATAATGAAGAACCAATTAGCTAGCTGCACAAACTGTTTTTGCTAAGACACACCTATGTGTATGTGTGTCAGAAGTGCTTAAATCTTAGTGTGTCATTTCCGTGTTACAGAAATGCAACCGTCTAGGACTGAAATCTATCCAAATAAATTCCGAAGACGCATGGCTGCAACACTGCTTCTCAAAACTACCATAACACTACCACCCTGCACGCTGTTGTGTCTAAAAGCAGATAGTCAGTGTCCGAGCAGCCCCACCGGTCTGTCTGTTCACTCCTGCTGTGCAGTCCGGTCTGCTTCCACAGCTACATTAGTTAGACAATGAATTCAAACAGAAAAATGCCTGGGTTGAAAACCAGCTGCTTTCAGATGGATCAGTTCCTTAACTCAGCTGGCTGTGGGGCTGCGCAGGGCACAAGGGGGAGGGGGGAAACGCCAGGATGGGAAAGGGGGGAGGCTGTTCATGGCAGCTGATGCAGCACTGCTGCCCACACGTAAGGGAGGCATACAGCAGGGCTGGCTGCTGCGCCCCAGGGTGCTGCGCACAGACGTAGCCATGAGCACTTCGATGGAGAGTGTAGATGGATCGTAGATGATGTGTAGATGGATGTAGAGAGAGATGGGTTAAGCAGGCACAATGGATGTTCTGCAGTAATAGCGCGCTTGAGTAATAGGTACTGTTTGCTAGCGTGGACACGCAAGTTTACTCACAGTTAGTCTGCATCATAGCTGTGCCTTGTGACCCATAACCAAGTAACAGTGAAACTTGGAAAAGAAAGAGCTGTGGCAGTAATGTACTCCAATATCCCAACAAACTGACAATGCCAGATTCTATTCTATTCTATTCTATTCTATTCTATTCTATTCTATTCTATTCTATTCTATTCTATTCTATTCTATTCTATTCTATTCTATTCTATTCTATTCTATTCTATTCTATTCTATTCTAACTCTATTCCATTCTGCTCTGCTCTGCTCCACTCCGTTCCCTTCTGTTCCGTTCCATTCCATTCCATTCCATTCCATTCCATTCCATTCCATTCCATTCCATTCCATTCCATTCCCAAAGATGTAATGAAAATATGTATTTACTCCTCAATACCACACCATCCCATCCCATTGTATTTCAAAGACTTGGTTTCACCACATACACAAATAGACAAGCCACAGGCTCACGCATCCACACGCGTCCCGAGTTTTCATGTCTGTTAGCATCCTTCACATATCAAGCTGTCTCAGTACATGGAGCTTTTCAGTGCTGAACTCAATCCTTCAGAGAATATGAATATCTATTTATATAGTTATAGAGTTGTGGGGTCAGACTGCAACCTGGTGTAAATCACAGTAGCTTAACTGATCTATACCTGGTATTTCCCTATTCAGGGTTTTAGCCTTTTGCCTCTTAGCTGAGTATAAACACTTGCTGGCCCCGGTGGCTTCCCCTGCTACTGCCGTTTCATTTAATCCAGAAGGCATTAATTTTACTGGTTTTGGACCATTTGTGGATAAGCTGTACATTGACTCAAACTTCTAAATGATATTCTAAAATCATCTGTGCATTCATCCCAAGCATAATATGCCTTTTTCTACCTAGGCGCAGAAGTTCACTACAAATGGAAAGTAAATGAGAAGCTAAAAGTAAAACTTGCTAACAACTTTGGTATAGACATATGGTATCCTGAAAATCACCAGCTGCTAAAGGGTCTTGAAAAGAAAAACAAATCTGAAATAGTTAATATTAACAGGGAGATTAACATGAAAAAAAATACAAAAAACTCTGTGTAATTTGCGAGTAACAAGTGTAGTGTCTGAAAAAAAAATGGGAAAAAATCTGTAGGGCAGCCAGACGAGAATGCTGAATAGAAAGCTTCTAAAGATTTAACCACAAATGGTCAGAAAAAAAAATATTTCAGCTCTCTGAATGAAAGTAATTCAACATTCATTTGAGAGAAATTATTTTAAATAAATAAATAAAAGTAAGGTAAAATAACATATTTTGAGAAATCCAGGTTGCTGCAGAACTTTATTTAGTCCATTGTATTTTTTCTGTTATACAGCTGCACTTCATCTTAAGACGGATGCAAAGACCAAGTCAAAACTGCAATAGAGTCGATGGTCTGTCTGTAATTGTGTGGTGGCTCTGAAAGAAGCACAGAGCGTTACTTGAATAAACTAATAAACTTGTCATGTTCTGTGCACCCTATGAAATAAAGTTACACATAACAGCCTTTCCGATATTACTGTTTAATATTTGTCTGTTCTCCTCTTCTTCAGGTTAGTCTTGATTCCCGGGTGAGAGAAGTGATCAACAGAAACTTGTTGGATCCCAGCCCTCACATGTATGAAGATGCCCAACTCCAGATATACACCCTAATGCACAGAGACTCTTTTCCAAGGTTTTTGAACTCTCAGATTTATAAGTCTCTCGTTGAAAGTATTACAGGCTCTACTTCTGAAACCTAGTTTTAATTTTCAAACAGAATAACTTGATTTTTTTTGGGTGGGTGGGATGGAAGAAAAGTAGTTTAATAACATCTGGAGCTGGGTTCCTGGAGAACTACAGTTTAGCACTACTCAGGCTACTGTGAAGAAAACAAATACATATTATGGTCTCTGTCTACATTTTTACCAAGGTCCTCCTTGCTCGAGATGGCATGGGAGGGGAACAATGGATTTGCCAAAATACATTTGTTTCACACTCCTTTCACCCTACTGCAGTCAAGATTGCAATGATGTATTTGTAGTTTTATGAACAGTCTCCTTGTGTATCCTCACACTGCATGTGCAAGGTAAAACTGCTTCACTTACCACTTAGTTGTTGCAATATTTAATCCAATAACATAAATTATATCTGTATTTAAGAACTTTTTTTGTGCAATACAGTCTTATGGTACATAGAAACAATTGCAGCAAACCAGAAAGAGGCTTGCATTTTTTAACATCACTAACTGAAAAAAGCCAATTTTTAAGGTGTAGCATTACGCAACATGCTCTACTGAGTACAATACACTGACTTTTTGAAGCCAATATTTCTGTACAGAACAAAAAAAAGAGCTATTTATCACTGTTTATTTAAAATAAATCAAGCGGAGGATTCCTCTGGTTGTTCACTGCCAAAACTGTGGCATTTTCATTACAGAGTTTGCAATGTCAAAAAAAATAAAACAAAAAAAGAAGAAAAAAAAAGCACAAACCACTTAAAGGGATCCGTATCTGGGTGACACAATCTATGCGCTGATATTGTTTAATTGTTAAAAGAACAAAGATTTTCAATGTACATTTCAGATGTCAGATACTGTAATTCATTTATTAAAGACTGGCTATCCAGTTCTAACACTGTTGTATAATGTTATGTACTTCAGCAAAAAAACAAAAAAACAAAAACAAAAAACAACAAAAAGCTTGATAATTTAGTTTTTTTAATAAAGAAATTTAATAAAAGATTGCCTACATGTAGCATTTTAGAGCATTTTAGAACATTTTGATGAATTGCATCTGTCCTGTAAGATTTTTTTTTTTTGAAAGCTAAATCTAGTAGAAAATGTTTTTAAACAAAGTAATGTTTTACGAGGTGGCAGGTTAAAGAAGTGTTATCTTAGCTTCTAGCCTCATTGATTTTGTGTAACTCCTTGAAAACGAGGGGTTTGGAGAGTAATATTAAACCAAACTTCAAGGGCTCCTAAACCTACAGTCCTTACCCAAGCAAAATGCCTACGGAAACACAACGGGTGTCTTTCCTGGGTAAAGAATCCTGTACTGAGCCCTTAATCAGAGCTAAGGCAGCACGGTACTCCCATCACTTGGCTGCCATGGTGTTTTTAATAGGTGTTTGCTTGGCCTTTTTATCAAAAAATGTCCAATTTTAGGATGCATTTTGATGTTTAAAGAGACAGTGACTCGGAACTTAAAAAACCCCATCTTCATACCTACCATATACAAGCAAAATGAGCGTTAGCATCCCTCACACACTGCTAAAGAGATACCAAGACATGGCTTTGAATACTTGTTAAATATATATATATGTATGTATGTATGTGTGTATATATATATTTAATACTGACAACTCTGGTCTTATAGTAAGACCTCAGAGGCAAGGTTCTTCTCACTCACGCAGGACTAAACATGGCATAAGCCCGTTGCTTTTGATGGAACTGGAAGGTCTGGCAGTTGTGTTCTTGAGCAGAATCTAGCCCCAACACGCTTGGCTCCAACCACCCAGTTCCTCCTTGCCGGCAGCCTCCGGTGCCAGCTCTCTCCCGCTTGGAGCCGCTGCTGCCGAGGCGGGTCGGCTGCTCTACGGTAACTGGTGGGATGCAGGTCTTAGTTTATTTTCCTGGGGCTTGCTTGGTTGTTTTTTTTTCTCCTTTGTTTTACTACCTCTCATTTTTTTAATTTATTGAACATGCTTCAAATAGCAAGTCTGGGGAATTTTTTAATCATTCTTTTTACTTGAAACCTGTGTGCTTTTTTTGGATATATATAAGAACAATTTCACGAACTGTTTCTTAAACTCATTTGGTTTTGTAATTTATATAGAATTCAGGAGATGATTAAAAGGGCTATTCTCTATTCCCTATGCAAATATTTTAACTGTTGTAGTGTTTGACAAAATGGGATCTAAAAAAAAAAAAAATCTGCAAAGTGGAAAACAAATCTGTTTACAGTGGCGTTGCTGACTATCCTACCATATTCAGCACTTTTAAATATTGTTATTTATGAAAATGTAGTTTAAAATGCAAGACAAAATATTTATAAACATTTCTTTTAATAAATACCTGTTTTGTCTGAAAGTGTTACTGTGTTATGACAACTTTATTCATGTTGGTTAGCTACTTACCATTATGAATAAAATATTCAATTATTATATTGATAGAATAATAGCTATGATGTTTACAAATCCTGAGGGGGGGGAAATTCATAGAAAAAACGGTCTGCCTCCTTCTACTGTGAAATACTGTTAGAAAAAATGATTTTTTTCTGGCTTTTTTTCTTAATTGGAATTTAACTATGGTCCTACATATGTCTAGTATCATTTGATTACAGTTATATTTACTGTGGTACTAAACATATACAGCATCATATATGTATATATTTACATAGTGTAATTTCAAGTTTGTTGGTGTTTGAGGCACAATACAACTAGTCCACACATCTAAACAATGTGTAAGAGACAAAACTGCATGCATAAGTCTTTACAAATGTAGACTTGACTATTCTTAATGTTACTATTTGATGGTGACCTGCTAGTCATAAGCTATCTTTATAAGATATTTCACACAGGTAGAAGTTCTTGTCAACATAGACAAGTCATCCTTTCAAGGACAGTTTTAAAGCTAAATGTGCGGGCCCTAAAATATTATCTTTATTTCTAGCATAAGATTCCATAATCTGTATTTGGAAACTGTTACAGCATTTTGAAAAATATTACACCAACCTTCACTGTAATACTGCAATGAAATCACGTTCAAAATTTCTTGTCTAAAATCCTCTATTTAGAGGGATTTAAAAATTGAACATAACATGTGAAGTTTCTTTCTTGGAGCAAATGCTCATATTAAAATGTTTAATGTACCTTTCATCTATCATTTTGGGTTTCCCAAAATTTTTTTATGAAAAAATGGATACGGTCCAGATGGACAGCAAGTCATGCCGTAACATGATCTCATTGCCTATCATACAGTTCTTTGAAAACAAATTGTAAAACAGTCAAGCTATTAAACTGATTTATTGTGCATGCAGTGTACAATACACTTTGAAAAACTGCCTAAATACACTTATTCTATGGCCTGGAATAAAATAAGTATGTATTTAACCTGTACTTCAGTTTTTCATGAGAACGTATATAGAAAGTACACTACAGAAAGTGAGTTATGTTTTTGTCACTTTTGCCCAGTGTTTAATCTTTTCTGTCAAATAGAGCCTAATGCCAAACAGCCACAAATAAGCAGAGCATTTGTGTGCACTCCTGACCTTTAGGTTTCAAAGAAACTGAATATATATTGTATTATACATGTTTTCAACTTAGCTGTTTACAGTCAACTTTCACATAACTGAGCTGAAAGTAGTTGGGGATACCCAGGATAAAACCAAACCTGCAGACAGTATCAAGAGTATTGAAATTGGACTGAAGGCACATATGGCGTGAAGGAGACTAAAGGTATGATGGGGAAAAGACAGGTTAGTGGCACAGGCGGCTGGGCTGCATGTTAACCACGTGAGTCCAGGTGCCATGGAAATGTGGCCATAGGGGTTCCACATCCACAGCCCACCCACAACTTACTTGAGCACCTGCGGAGTCCACATAATCCATTCACAGGACAACAGAGAGTGGACACAAACCAGACTTCAGCTCATAATAGCTCTGTTTTAAAATAAAAGCGTGCTAAAGTGTCTGCTGGGCTGTGGTCTAAACCAAGCAATTAGAGGAGACCTACATTCTACCTTAAACAGCCAGGGTTTAAGCTGTCACCTGATGCCAAACTTCCTCCCCTAGGCAGCAAATTCCATCACAAGGAGCATCTGCCTGTGGAACCAGTATCTAAAAAAAAGTGGGGGGCTCTTTCTGTGAGAGCAGCTTGCTGGACTGACCACGCCACGAGCCCGCTCAGGAATCAGCAGCTTCTGTATGCAGTAAGTGCTTGCAAAAACCATTTAGCATAGGTATTCCACAACGCCAATTCAAAAGCAATCAAAGCTGCTACAAGAAAGTCTCTTAACTTCAGGGACTCTCTACACCACAATGAGTAGAGCTCACACCTCTACAATGTCTGTGAGCCTGCTCCCAACATCCTTAACCCAGTCAACAACAGCCTGAGTCCTTACCAAATCCAACAAACCCAAAAATTAAGGTTACTCATAGACAAGACAGCTGCAACATCTGCTCCAAATTGATTTGAACCATGTCTAACTACCAACTCCAAAGTGGTTTTTTCCTCAGCCCATAATGCTGTTTGAGGGGCCCAAGAGTAGCACTGTAGCACATCCTGGGACATGGCTGCAGTGACAAAGGTCCACCTACAGCCTGAGTACGTTTGCAGTGACAAAACATCAGCCCCATTCCCATAGGCCCCAAATAATTCTGCCAGGAGTAGAAGTGACGTGAGTGGGATGAATGAACAAAGCAATAATGGTGCCAAAATCAGCTGGAAAAGAAAAAGACAGAGACATTGTCTGTGTATTACTTTAACATTATACCACGAGCCAGATTTTGCCCCTTCCTTCTTCCATAAACTCTCTCTGTGGAAATCCATCCTTCCGATTTAAAACAGGGATACAACGCAGGTCATTCAAAGGCTGACCATGAGTCATTGACTCACACTACCTTTTTTCTTCTCAAAAGCTTTACATTAAATCACCTCTTACTCTTAGTTTCCCGAGTTCTGCGTAATTGTCTCACAAGCAGGGTTCATGCTGCTGTTAAGACTCTCATAATTTATTTCATTGTTAAAGAACACCAAAATATTTGGTTGATTAAATGCATAAATTTGATCATTTTTCCTTTACCTTTCTGAAAGAAGGTTTCAGGGAGCTTCATAGGCAGGCAGCAGTAAGTGCAAGGGAAGATTTTGCTGGGTGAGATTTCATAAGCAACGGCCTGGGCTGTTTATCAGCGCCAGACTAGCCGCAGGCTGTGCATTCTCCACAAAGCTCTTTGAGTATGATTTTACTTATAAATTATTGCTACAGTGTATTTTGCCAATAAGCCTTATTCAAAGTGGTGCATTTACAATCATAGGAAAATGTTTTTATCCAACTATTCATTTTAATGTTTAACATGCCAAATAACAAATTCTCATGTTGACCGTATTGCCTTTGGATTTCCACAATGGAACAAAAGTTCCAGATTTTCATTTCTGACTACCAAAACCACGTAGGTGTGCAAGGCTTACTCTTGCTTTGGATATTACATTGGTGAAAACAACAGTTTTCTAATGTATCATATGGAAGTTATTCCACCAGCGCAATTTAGTTGTAAAGCACGCTTACCTACTTCTGTTTAGACATGAACAAGGACAGAAGAGGAGCGAAGACCCGACTTTGACTCCTGCAATGACTGTAACATAGTTGCATATTTTTGCAATAAAGTATATTCTTCAAACTGTTTTGAGTTTAGCCAAGAATCTCATTAATGATGTTACGTAAAGGAAGGTTACTATGCCACCCCGTCCGCGTACCAGAAGGGATTTGTCAGGATCATCCCACAACACCCATCACATCACATTTACTGCATGACTGCATCCTCACTGCATTCCAGTTTAAAACTTTGACATAAGACACTGTACTCAGATGTGGATTTTGTAAAGGGGCAGTCTTTCAGTCGCACCACTCATCTCTGACACGAAGGCTCTTTCAGTTGCCCTTTTTGCTTCTCTTTTTCCCCTAAATGCTCAATTTTGCCCCTGCTTTTGCTGCGGAGGCACCCTTCCGTCCTCCCTCCTCCTCCTCCTCCTCGGGGTATTTTAATTCTGAAAATTTCCCCTGGAGGGAGAGGGAAAGTCCTGTGTGCCACCCATCACCTGGATACCCCACCCCCCGGCTGGCACTCCCCGCCTCCCTCGGCGGGGCCCGGGCGGCGGCC